TAAATAATAATTTTAAAAATAATCATATAGTAATATAAGGATTTTCTGCTATTACGCCGGGCGATAAGATAGATAGGTACGATGTAGAATATCTATAATATTATATCTTTATTAATTTGATGGAAAACCAGCTCAATTCGTATAGTCTGATAGTCGTGCAGTATTATTTGTAATTCAGTCGTATGGTGATCGTTTCGTTTCGTTCTCTTCAATATGGAAATTCTAATAATTATGTCCGAAAAAGGCAAGGAGTTGGTTCTCTTAAATAATTTTAAATACTGTTTTGTTAGAAAACGTAAAGATGGGTATATTAAATGGATCTGTACAAACAAAAATTGCACTGCAAATATTCTAACAACTGCAGATAAGAAGTCTCTACATCAGTCAACTGTTGAGCATAAACATTTAGTTAATAGTCAAGTAGTCAACTTTTAATTGAATCAACTGTACAAAATTATAATGATTATAAAGTACACAAAGATCTAATTTTATATTTAAGAAAAACTGGAAATTCCTACCAGGGAAAAAATTTAAAAAAAAAGTAAAAATGTAGAAAATTTTTTTTAAAAACTACCTATTATTTTGAGTGTATTATTATGTATAATATTATTTTTTCATTCAGAACTTACTCAGATCTATGTACGTATGTATTATTTTATTTATTTTTAAGTTTCTAACGTAAAATGAACACGTACATTTTGTAACAGTGTTATTAATATTTATACAACGAAAACAGTTTTAATTAATCAACATTTTAAACATTACTTATTATTTTGTATAATTTTATTTTAGTTTGTAACGAAGAGTTGTTGTCTTAATTGTATTATCAATACCAATAGTTTATATTTAAAAAAAAAAAAAATGTTTTAATTGAACTCCCGAACAAAACATATTATTCAGAAATATAAACTTGGCAACGTAGTCTATAAAAACGTTCGCAATCGTTCGTTTTTCGGCTAAAAAAACAAATTCTCTGATAAGCGTCATTCGTTCGCAATCGTGTTATAAAAAAGGTAAAACGTTCGCAATCGTGTTGTACCCGTCCTGTGTGAACCTGAGTGATATTAAATATATATTAGTTAAACAAATAGGGGGGGGGGGGTACCTATATCTATTTAGAGTTATAATAAGACTGTAGCACATGTAGATACACGATTCGTTTGCACTGCCTACGACGATATAATATGATTGCTATATACAGGCGCGTATCCAGAATTTTATTTCGGGAGGGGCTGAACAAAATGATCAACATAGTCACACAATAAAACAAAAAAGTGGGTAAGTGGATGTCGCTCTGCTGTACAGTAGGTTACAAGTGGGTCACTGTAATGTATGGTGTAAAATTTGAATTCAATGATATAATATCATTGTATAAGAAAAACAATTCTAAGCGAAAACGGTCAGTAAGCCTATGATGGACCATTGTTTTAAATTTTCAATTCTTAACCATGAAAGTTGAACATTTTATAAATTTTTAATTAGAAAATATTTATTACATTTTAAATTTGATTAATTTTGTCAAAATTCGAACTTTAAATGATTATAAGAAAAAATTGTACCTATTTATTTTTAATATTTTTCAACTAATATTGTTACAATATATCAGGAGCCTTGCGTTAAATTTTCACGCTTTTTTACCCAACAAAAAAATTTTTATTGATATTTATTGAAAAAAAACTAAGAAAAATGAAAACTGTCAATGTCCGTAAATAGCTCAAAAAGAGGCAAAATATTTTCAAATTTTTTTGGTGTATAAAAAATGAAAACATTCAGCAAAATTCTAAGTTTTGTGATTTTTCCGTATTTTGTCAAGATTTGAACTTTAAATGCTTATAAAAAAATTACGACTAAGGATTTTTTATCTTTTTCAACTGCTATTGTAGCAATATAGCAGGAGCCTTGTATTAAATTTTCAAGCTTTTTTACCCAACAAATAAAGTTTTATTGACATTCATATTTTTTGGATTTTCTTGAAATTTCAGGGGGGCTGCAGCCCACCCAGCCACCCCCATAAATACGCCCCTGGCTATATAATATAATCTGACGATTTCAAAAATTATATTCCTTGTAAGCAGGACACACAAACGAATAATATTATATAACTGTGCGTCGAGATCATGCTCTTATATTTTCGTAAAATAGTGGTTTTACGACCAGTATGTCGGACGTCGGTGAAAGGATCCCGAATCCTGTGTCCTCGGAATTCATCGATGGGGAGCGTTCGACAAAAAAATCTTGAAGGCCGAGTGGAATACCGAGGGTGAATACCGTAGTCCTACCTAAGAAACACACAAAGGAACTCACACAACACAACGGTCGAACACGTTTTTTTTTTACTGTAGTTTACGGCCACCTGCCGATTCGCCGCCGTCATAAACCACCCGACATTCCGACGAGGGTGTAGGTATAATATACAGGGTGTAACAGAAAGATATGACATATACATATACTGGAAATGTTCCTAAACAGTTCAAAACAAATCAAAATATTTTGAAAATGTTATCATGTATAGAAAATGCAAATATAAACTACCAGTGAAAATTTCATGTATTTATTAATTTTTTCATTGTATTTCATACGTTCATTGGTTTTAGAGTTTGACCAAAAATAAAAATCGATTTTGTCATATCTTTCTGTTACACCCTGTATAGTAATAATCCTATTCGACCCGCAGTCACTGCCACAGTGTAACCGTCAAAATGATGATACCTTTCGTGTAACTACACTCCAAGGCTGCTATATGTATTACATATAGACGGAAATCCATTAAAATTTCAAGGGGGCTAACATTGTTAACGTCGATGTGACTGGCGGGGCTTGGTTCCTACAAAACTAAAAGAGGAGGGGACTTGACGGACTTTTGGGAGGTTGAGCCTCCTCCAGGCCCCCCCCCCGCTCGATATCCTCCAATGTATAATGTACCTACAGAGTGATTAACCGAGCACGATCCCTCGATGTTCATCTTAGACAACGGCCGAGTTATTGAAAATCTGATATTTCCGATTATTAAATAAACTTAGGTACAGGTAGTCGTATAGACAATCATATTCTTAAACAGAGGTTTTATGACCAGCATATCGGTGTAGGGATCACGAATCCGGCGGCGGCGTTCTCGGAATTTAACGATGGGGATGATCTAACCTAACATTCCAGTGTTGGAAAAAAAATAACCTCGAATGCCGAGTGAATAGCTAAGGGTGAATACCTACCTAAGATAACATAATGCACAAACACGTTTTATTCCGCAGTTTACAGCCACCTGCCGATTCTCCGCAGCCATAAACCCCTCGACATTCCATCCCTAACGACGAGGGTGTGAGTAAAATATATAGTAATAATCCGATTCATGTTTGAAACATCGTGTTTTAAACACAACGACTCTGGAAATGGGTATTAAGTTTCATTGTATCATGTTTTAAGGAGTAATATTTAGGCAATTCTCATGACATGAACATTTGGAATAGGCAATTTTTGGCTTGCCGGGATATATTTGTTAGGGCCTCATAATGAGAAATATACAAACAAAGGCATCATTAGTTTAAATATATTATTTTTATACAAACAATTTTTTCTAACCTCTGTTTTGAAATGAAATTTCAAAAAAAATGTATTAAAATATTATAATACAGAATTTAAAATCCTACAAAAGTTACAAAATGTATGCACCTGCTCTTTAAATCCCTTTGAAAGTAAATTTTCAATTTCACTTTCTTTGTTTGTGTAGTTATTAAATGACTATAATAAATGGGGAATTTAAAATTGTTTAAAACCCTATTATTTCAGTCTTCAGATGAGCAAAAAAATCATTAACATGTTTATCATAAATACATAGTTAGTTCAATAATTATTAGTTTGTATTAAAATACCTCAACACCTAGGTTTTGTTTATATTCTAAAATACTTTTAGTTTAATAATAATAAATAGCATCGTTTAAAATTAACTTTTAATCTTTCAGGTAAAAATTATAATATCATAATTAAAATTATTACTTATATTATTTATAAATGTGTGAATTGTGAAATGTACGATGAGTTCTTAAATAAATGTGTTCATTTACGTAGGAGGGCTCCAGTCGGTTTTGTCAATAGTCAAAACCAATGTAGATTTGACCAATTTAAACATAAATTTTATTTATTTTAATATTTTTAAATATATTTAAATTCTGTATCATCAATTATGTCATAAAGGGACTTCATATTAAAACTCAAAACAAATTCTTCCAGTTTTGTCAGGATTTTTGGTCTAAAAGTTACTTTTTTTTTGAAATCATTTTTGTTCTAATCAGTATTTAATATTTTTTTTATATAATATGTAGTTTACACACTATTGAGCTATAAGTGTACGGTGTAATTTAAGTTTTTAACTTTTTAATACAGAAAATAAACAATTTTTTTTGTAGAAATATGAGGGACGAGTTAAGCGTTTTACACAGCTTAAATACTATTGCCAACTTATTGAATCTACGAACACCCAATTGCATGAACAATCTATGCCCAAGGATGTCTATATCATAGGGAAAGAGTTATATAAAAAGGTTATGTAGGGAACATGTAGGTTACACAAAATACTAAATGTGAATACATCTAAGACATATTTCATTTCATTACACACGCATTTCTTTTGAGTATACATTGAATTATATTAAGTATTAGCTTTTGATATATTGACACAATCACACTAATTTAATGTACCTACCTAACTTTAATTTATTATTATAATAATATATTTATATATATAAACTGGGTAACTTTGAATTAAACATATCAAAAATAAGGAACTTTTGTAAAAGTTAATAAACTAAAAAATGTAATCATTTAGGTATACAGAATTATAAATTTCAGTAATAATTTATATCTATGTGCATATTATACTATATTTACATAAATTGTGTAAATATCACAGCTGTGGGTATTATAAAAATAAAATAAAATTGTATTTATAAAAATAAAAATTAACAAATAAGTATTCATCCTTAACAAAGTTTATAGTTTTATGATGCTTATAAAACCATAATAAGTTTTTTTTTCTCGTTCTCGTCGTACTCTGAAAACGAGTTGTGTGGAGGTTCTGAGCAGTTAGCATTAACGTAACGTGCACTATCATAGTTCAAGACAATTTCACTACCACAAGCATGGTCTTTAATTAACCCATCCTGAAATAAAGAATAATTAAATAACATTCATTTTTACCATTAAATAAATTATTAATTTGTTAATTTTTATCTCAAATGTAATAAAAATATTATTTAAATATATTGTCATTTAGACAACTTTTTCGTATACATACATTATAATATTATGTACTCTAATAAAAAATAACACAATAGTAAAAGCTAATAAAACTGACTAAAAAATGTGTTTATTAAGTAATATACTTTAATTTACAAAACAGGCTAGTGGATCATCTATTATCGGAGGATGTCTATTCGACCTATTATAAGCGGACAAACCGTTCTAAAACACAATTGAAGGGGACAAAAAATAATATTTATATTATTATTATTATATTAATATTTTTAATAATGTACATTATATATTTAATCTAAGGAAAATAGTTTATACATCTGATTTAAAATTAAGTTTTAGTAATATATACAAACAATTAAACAATTTTCACTGTGCATTAATAGAGCTAAAAAAGTGTAATTCCAAATGTATTAAGAGGAATGTATTTATCAAAATGTACCTACTAAGAGTTACAATTGTGTTGTTAGCTTAAATATTAGAGTGAATTGACCTATTATCAAACTTAAATGTAAGAACTGAGTTGTCTCGTTGGTTTTTTAATGATATTTTTATTTTAAAATTAATTATGAGTGTTTTCATACTATATTGTAAGACGGAGACAACATGTGTGGGTGTGACATCCTCTTAATCTTAATCAGTTAAACATAGAAATGTTAAGAATTCAGATTTATAGAATTTGCTTATTGTTCCACCCGTATTAAATTGCAATCAAAAATTTTAAATTTATATAATATTGTTAATAATTACTTCGTTCATAGGATTCTCATAAACATTATATCTTGAATTTATTTCATCTTCTTTCTGGTCAATTACTTGGATGACAGTTGTTAATGGCCGATGAAATAATCTATAAAATAATCAATTATAATATTTTAATATAATACAGATACTAAAAGTAGTAAAATATGACTTAGTTTTACCTAGATGCAAGCTGATTCAAAGATTTATTTTTGGAATAGAATAGAAAATAATATAACATCGCTAATAACAACATTACAATTAAAAATATAGAAATATAGATTGAAATCATATTTTTTTTGTAGTCCAAGTCTTTAAAAACAGGCAATTTTCTATGACCAGCATCCTAAAAAATTTAAATTATAAAAAAATCATGATTAGTCACATATAACAGTACTTAAATGTAACACAAAAAACTTTAGTATAGTATTACATCACAAATATTGCCTGGCTCGACTTGAGATCCATCTCCGCAAACACACATCGGTCCTTTTGATCCAGAAGTACAAATGAAATCGCAATCGACATCAATACAAACATTTGATCCTAAAAAAATAATTATATGAATACGATAGTTTGAATTATGAAAATTATGGATTTTTATTTGTTGTTAGGCGTTAGCATAGAACATCTCTTTTAAATTAAACTATCGTTAATAATGACAGCAAATACAACTTTCAATTATTATGATATATTGACTTCTCTATGATATACAATATGAAACATATTATAACATTTATCAAAAATGATAAAATAAATTCAGACATTAATGAAAATTAATTTAGGTAATATAAAGTTATTTTTCTTGGACCAGCTGTAACCCGTGAATCGTGATATACCTCACGATTGAGAGTATACAAGCAGTCTTACAGAAAAGAACCCAATTTAATATTTAGCCAATTTGTCTATTTTAATGCAAGCATATTATTATGTCCGGATGTGTAGGAGTAGTTTGGTCTATTTACGTTATTTTTCCATCAAAAGTTATATTTAATTTTTAATGTTCCATACTTTTATAATATTAATAAATGTTGGAATGTTTTATTTTTGTTTTCTTTTAAAGGAGCACACAACACAAAATGTTAAATTATTGTTGCTATGTCTATATTAAATTAATTGGTGAAAATCCGATGTAAAAAAATGATTAAATTAAGAGATTTTAAGAAATATAGAATAGCCGCGTGACGTCATTGGGCCCGGCTCATCGTAATTGCCTATCTTATACATGTAAAAGGAACGCTTCACACAATAATTTACCAATACAAAAATCTTATTTTTGAAATTTAGTTTACTTATAAATGTGTGATTTAAGATAAAAGTATCAGAAATTTAATATAAAGTTTAGTTTTTTAAATATTAATTAATTTTTAAAGTGATATTCTTGTTAAATGGAGTGTCATGACCATTTCAATATAAAATAAAAATTCAAATATCTCTTTTAAGATTTTTAATATTTAAAAAACTAAACGTAATATTGAAATTCTGAAGCTTGTATCGTCTTAAACCCATAAAACCACACATTTATATGTAAATTAAATTTAAAAATAAAATGTTTAGGTTTTAAAATTGTTGGTTGAAGCGAGAAACTTTGTAAACATGTATAAGATATGCAATTATAATGAGCTCGGCGGAATGACGTCACGTGTCTTTTTTCAATTGCTCATAACTAATTGAATAATGTGAGTAGAAACCTAAAATCTATACCATTATTCTTAGAATTGAACATTTTTTCAAATGAATTATTATTTTTTGTGTATTATGCTCCTTTAAGACGGTTTAATTAGCATTTTCTACCCTTAAAACACCCATTTTAAGTGTATTAACTGTTGTTGTATTGATTATAAATATAACCATGCTACCTTAAATTAGTATTGGACAAATTGTTATTAATATCATTATACCATTTCTTTGTTTGGCCTGTTGACTTATCATGAATGTCTCGATGGTAGCAAACACTTGAACAGGAACAGACTCACAGTGGACATTTTCAGAACCGAAAACTTTACATTTAAATATAGACGACCCGGTTTCATGGTTGGTCCAAAACAGTTTGTCTTCGTGCAATGATATTTTCTCTGGCAAATGCTAATTTAAAAATTGTTTCAATTTATAAAACTCATAGTATACAAAAATAGTTCAATAATTGAGGTGTAAACTTTCTTACTTCTATCGAATTGACCAACACAGTTATTTTAGTTCCGTCGTAATTAGCCCTCTCGATTGTTGAATTAACTTGATCGACCCAATAGACCATATGTTTGATTGGATCTATAGCTAAATCAGTAACATACTGTAACCCTTGATGGATTATAGTTTTTACATTGTATCCACTGCAATCAGATTTCCTAATAACAGTTGTTGGTGTTGAAAATACTGCCCATATGGTTTCCGACCAGAACATCACTCTAGACATTTCAATTGTAAGTAAATAATTTTATTTTGTATTTCATTTAAAATATTATTAAGTTACCCGGAACGAGGATCAATTTCAAAAGCCATAATTGTTGTATGGATGTTTCCACTGTATATAGTGGCGCAACGTTTAGCATTTAAATAACACACAACAATGTCTTTAAAATTTTGTACAAAGTAAACGTTTTCTGTTAACCAATCAATACGAACTAAAGTTGGGTGTAACAAATCTGTCATGTAAACTTTATGCTGTTGTTGCATATCCATACAAACAAGGACGCCAGCTTGTTCTAAAAATAAATAAAAACAAATTTTATTCAAATTTTAAACTTTAAAAAATAAGATTAATTTCAGAAATTCTATTCAATACATGGTAGTTTATTAAGTTTTTTAATTTTTCATGAATATAATGTATAAAAAAGTCGCTCTGCTTAAGTTTCAAGTGGGTCACTGTATAATGGAAGGTATTAAATTTGAGCTCAATGATAATATAATATCATTGTATAAGAAAAACGATTCTGAGCGAAAATGGTATGTCAGTCTAGGTATAAGACTTATTATATACTTATCTATGGTATTAAAAAAAATTGATCTATAATGGTTAGTCAGTCCATGATATTACTAAGTATATTTGATGATATTTAGGTGAATAAAGTAATTTATATATAACATATTTACGTGGAATCTTGTTTTAAATTTTCAATCTTTAGCTATAAAAGTTGAACATTTTATACATTTTTTACTACAAAATTATTATTAAATTTTAAATGTGATAAATTTTGTCAAAATTTTAACTTTAAACGCTTATAAAAAAAAATTGTGCCTATGTATTTTTAATATTTGTCAACTGCTATTGTGACAATAAATCAGGAGCCTTGTATTAAATGTTCACTCTGTTTTACCCAACAAATAAAATTTTATTGATATTTATAAAAAAAAAACCTAAAAAAAATGGAAACTAAAAATGTCAGTAAACAAGTCAAAATATTTGGAAAATATTATGGTGTATAGAAAATGCGAATATAAACATTCTGTCAAAATTTAATGTACCTACAGTCATTTGTTTAAGAGTTGTACCAAAAACTAAAATCGATTTTTTCGAAAACAGATTTTGCGTACAAATTCCCGGTTTTTCTTAATTTTTATTTTGTTTTTCACGGCGCTATTGAAAATTACTGCACCAGCTTGATTCACTTTCCTTTCAGAAAAGATACTGTTGAAGAAAATCTAAGCACTTTTACTGTCCTAAAAGGTGATGACAGACACAAATAAAAATAAAAAATAAAATAAAAAAAAACAAACATCATTGTAAAATCAATACATTCATCGTTTCACTCAGACTCTAAAATAAAATATGTAACATAATTTAATACTTTTAACATAAATTGAAAATATATTCACTACAATTGTTCTATTTTAGATTCTGAGTGGAACGATGAATGTATTGATTTTACAATGATGTGTTTTTTTTATTTTATTTGTGTCTGTGTACACCATAAGAAGTCGAAATAATGCTTTGATTTTCAACTTCAGTAACAAAATAGTTTGATAATTTTGAGATTTTGATAGATTTTGATAAATTTTATCAAAATTTAAACTTTAAATACTTATATAAAAAAATTGTGCATAATATGGATCTTTAATATATCCCAACTGCTATTATTGCTAATTACGAGGAACCATGTATTAAATTTTCAAGAATTTTAAATCAATGCAAAATATTTTATTGATATTTATAGAAAAAAGTTGTTTGTAAAAATATGTTTTAATTACTTGATGTCCAATAAATAAGATTTCTTCTAATATCTATATCAAGGCTCGATATTGTCATTCCTGGCACCGAAAAAAGTAATTTTGATTCTTTAATATCTCCTGAAGTACTTCTAATTTCATCAACACTCGAATAAACTAAATCCATTGTGGGTCCTAAAAATCAATCAACATTAATATTATTCAACTCTAGACTATATGTTATTATGTTTTATATAATTTACTATAATGAAACCAAATACTTGCCAATTGCTTTACAGGAACTTTTATCTGCACGCAAAATGTAATCGGTATTTAAACAACTACAGCTATATGAACCATCTGAATTTGTACAATATTGAGTACATAAATTGTTGTCTTCACATTCATCAATATCTCTGCAAGTTATACCATCTTGTGCAAGTTTATAGCCATGATAGCATGTACATTTCCCACCTTTTGGAGTTTCTTGACAAGTATGACAACAATCCATGTGTATACAAGATAAACCTTTTATAAAATAAAAAATATATATCACAATTCATAATTAATGGTCAACCAATAATGTATTGATCAATGAGATATTTACTCAATGTAGTATAACATGTATGTATTACCACAAAGATCTCCTTCGTCTGAACCATCTTTACAATTGATTTTCTTATTACAAGCTTGATCTAGAGGTATACATTCTTGGTTCTTACATGAATATCCATCACAGTCTTTTGATGAAACGACTGAATTCGATAAATGTTCAGAAAGCATATCACACGCCTTTTGACTTTCATCAGACCCATCGCCACAATCATCATGTTTATCACATAACCAATCTTTCAACACACAACGCTTATTCTGACATTCGAAAAAATGAGATTTTTGACATCCACAATTCAATTCATCCTCTAAATGTCTGCACTCGGATGTGCCGTTGCACCTAGCCTTGATCGATATGCAATGTCCCATTGTGTTTTCACATTCAAATTCTGTTTTTTCATTACACACTTTTGAAACTCTTTTTGCCATGTATGCATGATTTGACAAACAACCATTTTCATCGGAACTATCACCACAATCATCTTTACCATTACAAGTGAATTTATGTGATATACATCGGCCATTAGTGCAAGAAAATTGATCATCTTTACATTTTTTGGTAGCTATAAATATTTATTATTGCATTATTTGAAAATCTATTTATTTTTTATAAAAAAAAAAAACTTACCACATGAATTGTGTTCATCCGAACCATCAAAACAATCAACCTCGCCATCGCATTCCCATGTTACAGGTATACAGTTTCCAGAATTACATCTAAATTCTGTAATATTATTACAACTTTGGCTCAGACAATTTAACTCATCTTGTCCATTAATACAGTCAGGATTACCATCACATAAAAATATGCGCTGTATACACTCTCCAGATGTACAATGATATTCTGTAGCTAAAAATATTATTAAATGTGTTGGTTTATTTATATGACTTATATTTCCACCAGATTACTGGTAAAATGTATTACTTGAATCACAAGTGTGCTTGTGGAAGCAATCCATTTCATCTGAACCATCACTACAGTCTTTAACACTATCACACATATGTTTTTTATCCAAGCACTTTGTTTTATCATGACATAAAAATTGAGATTGTGGACATGAGTTTGGTGTATAATGCAAACATTTAACAGCGTCTTCATCGTCACCACGGGGACAATCTTTTTTAAAATCACATCGGGAATGAGATGAAATACATTCACCAGTATAACAACGATATTCATCAGATTTACACTCTCCTAGTGATGTACAATTTAGGCTATTGTTTGATAAAACTAATCCAGGTGGACAACCACAAACCTTTGTTGTTTTACCATAAAATTAAAATTGTTAAACACCATTATTTATAAAAAATTGTCTTAAATAGAAATATTGTACCTTTCCTTTCTCAGATAAAAGGCATATATGACTACAACCACCGTTATTTTGTTGACATGGGTGTTGGATATTTTTGCTAATTCCATTTGCTACGGTTAAATATAAATTTGAATCAGTTTTCCAATTATCTATAACATACATAAAATTATAAAATTACTGTATGCTAATAAAATGATTTATAGAATGAATTACCTATATCAAGAGCTCTAGATGCTCGGTCTTCATCAACATTATCAATCCAGTTTAAAATTTTCGAACCCTCAGATACCCAAACAATGTCATAACCAATTGAAACAATATCTCTTACAAATCCTGCTTTTTTTATAATTCTTCTATCCGTTCCTAACATAATAAACGTAAATAATGAATAAAAAGGTATTTTTTCACCTCATAAAAATTGTAAACAGTTAAATAATTTATATGATATTATATTCACCATCTTCGCTGACACTATCAATAATGCCATTTTTATAGTCAGTAAAATACAACAGTCTTGTAATCATATCAAAATGTAAAGCAATTTCATCTCCTGTCAATCCATACTCCACCATATGTACTAGAGACTGAATACTTCCATCCATGTCAATTCGATCAATATGTATATGTAAATCTTCTTTCATAGCTACAAACATAAAGCTAAAAGCATATACATAAAAAAATTTTTAGTACAGTTAATCCACAAACATAAAATATAATAGTATTAAGAGGACGTAGCACCTGAATATGTTGTCTCCATTTTACACACGTACAACATAGCAAATTTTACACTCAGCAGATCACGTTTAGCCCTGATTATTTTAAAATTAGAGTGAATTGACCTCTTCTAAAATTTAAAGGTATGAATATTATCTGGGGAATCTCATTGGCTTTTGGTTATATTTAAAGTGAATTATGAGTATTTTAAAATTGTAAATTGTATATACATCTTTTAATACTCATAAGTCATAACTCAATTTAAAATTAAAATACAACAAAAAGCTGATGAGATGTTCTAGATATTCTTACCTATAAATTTTATAAGAGGTCAATTCACTTTAATTTAAAAATTAACGAGGCTAAATGTGATCTGCCGATTGTAAAATTTGTTATGTCGCAAGTAGTTTAATTACTGTCGTACATGTGTACGACGGAGACTACATATGCGGGTGCGACGTTCTCTTAATACATTATGAATATTGTACAGTAATATCAGATGTACTTGCCTTTTATCTGGAACTAAAGTAACGGCAAATGGGATATGACCTTCAATTTCTTTGAAAATCGTGGTGTGTGTTTTTGTAGAGAGACTTAACACATCTAATGTTTTTCTAGTCCTATCACACCAGTATAAGTTGTTTCCATGATTGTCAAATTCAAGGGAATAAATGGAACTAATTTCTGGTACATCTAGATCTGATAATTTCATCTTAACAAAATCGAAGGTGAATAGTTTCTTAGACCTTGAGTCATAGATGATGATGTCACCTTGTAATAAAAAAATAATAATTTTAACTTTGATTTACAACTTAAAACGTCTATCAGTAACATACCAGATAATGAATTATAAGTCAATGCGGATATGCTAGATAAATCATTTTTCAATGATATTTTCTTTGCTTTTTGGCGGCCTAAATGTTCTTGCTCAATTTCTATAATACTTGTTGGTGTACCCACAATGAGTGTAGGAGGAATGGCAATGGTGATACAAAAGATTCCATCTTCTGATAGTTTTTTATCGTCGGGGCAAGCGCACGAGTATCCTTTAGAATTGATTTCTGTCTTCGGTGCTAATAAGCATATATCACTGCACTTTCCTTGTTCACAGGGATTTGGCATCTGGAAATAATTAATAACTGTGTAAAGGACTAATAGTTTTATATTAAAAACTATACAATACTTGAGACTCAAAGAGCGAAGGATGGTTGATTTGCATACCATACACTCTGTTCTTATTTTCACGTATCAATGTCTTGCTATCTTTACCCGTAAACTTGTTGCATACTTTTATTTCTTTACTTGACCAATCACTCCAGTACAATTTATCCTCGAACACAGTAACCGAATATGGATGGTCTACATATTCTGTTACAACTACCTAGAATAATATTAATAACCATTAACCATATATTATAATAATATAAATATTAAAAATAAATACAATATGCTATACCTATTGTATTATTAAATAAATAATATATTTAAAATATTATATAGGCACCTATTGAAAACAATCACATTAAAATAGTATAAGTATGAATGTGTATATATTATATTATGTATAACATATTTCAGTTCAGTTTTTACCATCATTAAAATTAAAAGTGCCTGATTCCGTTATCAATAAAGTTCTTTTATGTTCTATTTACTTAAGTATTTAGATGTGTAGAATACGCGTTTTTTCCTGTGTATAAATATTTTATTCCATCTTTTATAATATCTGTTAATTGTATTAAATGTAATGAATATATTATTCACAAAGATGACTCAATTAAATGTACTATGTGTAAAAAAATGTATGCATTTTTTTCTGTGCTGGTTACTCTAATTTAAAGATATTAACTAACAACTCTAATTCAAGTTTTGCTTGTGATGTCTGCTCAATTTCTACTAATAATTTCAAGACTAAAATCACGGAACTAAAGTTATGGATAATAAATTATTAATTCAATGTATTTTATGATTAGAGTTTGATTGTTTTATTACCAAATTAGATTCGATTTCCAATGAGATAAAACCCTAAAAGCTAAAATCATTTTAGAAAATATAAAACTTAATAATGAAATTGATGCATTTTTTTATAAATAAAACTGAATGAATTGGAACAAAATAATCTTTGTCACAGTGTTGAAATAAAAGGTATACCAAAGACACTAAGTTAAAATTGTTTAGGAATTATAGTATATTTGTACAACCTATTGCCAAAACTGTTGAAAGTAATGTTATCATTAATTCGGCATATAGAATTAAAAGGACGTCGTATTCACATGTGTTGTCTCTGTCTTACACACAAACAGCACAGACAATTTTCATTCGCCAGTTTCAATAGTATGTCGTTAGTTTTGGGTAACAACATTATCTGTAACCTCTGATTAGTTTTTTAAGATATTTTAATTTTTAAGTGAATTATGAGCATTTTAAAATATTAATATCTGGTATTTAGATGTTAAAATACATGTTAACTTAAGACTCACCAAATTCAAAAGAATGTTATTAGCGAAAACTAAGACTGTATGCAGAAAAAACAATACAAACATGTTTGGACTAATAATTCTGAAGTACTAGTCATAAAAGAAGATGGTGACTGTAATGAGGATTTATCCAAAACAAAGTATAATATTGATTTTAAGCATTTGAATATGCTTATGAATACTGAAAACTATGATAATTATCTTAATGTTTAATGCATTAATAAAGCTTTTAATAATTTTAATAAAAAAAATTATGGAATTTATTAATATAATATCATCTAGTACCTACATATTTGGTAAATAATTATAATTATAAAAATAAAAATAAAAATATCAAAGATTGGTTTACTTTGGGTTTATTTGTTTTTATTAGAAAAAGAAGTAATGCGTAATTATTCTATACACTTACCCTTCGATCAGTTGCATCTAAATTAATGGATTCAATAAATTGCATCTTAGCGTCCACCCAGTAAATTCTTTTCCCGACATAATCAACATGAACACCATTTGGCCAGTGTATATTTTGTGTAACAAACGGTTGTGGTCTTGACCCGTCCATACCAGAACGGCCAATCATTGGATTTTTACCCCAATCTGTCCAGTACATGAGACTGAAAAAATTATGTAAATCAATAATTTATAATTATAAAATTAATTATATATTTAAATAATAACAACATAATATTTTACCCATCTTGTGGTGAAACAGCTACTGCTCTTGGTTTGTCTATGTTTTTATTATGAAGAACTGTACATACTGAACCATCATTATTGCACACTCCGATATGTTTCATTTTGGCATCGGTGAAGTACAAATTATGTGTAATAATATCTATAACTAGATTCTCAGGCGATCCAAGACCTATGGACATCACATAATTAGTATGTATTAATATTGTATTATAACATTTACTATTTAGTTAACAATTATTCGTTAATTTTAAAATGTCTATTGTAATTTAACATATTTACCCGAGTCGACAATAATTTCTGGTTTAGGCTCAGACTTGTTTGCTCTTACAATAGCTGAGTTCCCATCCAAATAAAGTGTCCAATATAAAGTTAATTCATCAACAGCTAATCCAGTGACATGTTGCAAATCATCAATCAAAGTATAACTACGAAGTAATTCCAAGTTAAAAACTTTTATTTGCCGTAGTGATGAATATAATAATTCCGGATTTGGGCCTACATTAATAAAGTTAATATTATAATTCAATTAGTGAAGTAGGTGCATATAAATTGTTATTGTAATTTATCAAATAGCGATAAAAAGAAAAAAAATATAATATCAAACTACAGCTTACAATTAAATTTTACAAAATATAATATAAGAATAGAAATAAATACATAATTTTAACATATTACCAATTTTATATTTCAATAAATTATTCACATACCAATTATTTAACAAAATTACCTTTTATTTTACACTTATGATTATCTACTAGTTCATAATGTGGATCACAGGAGCACGTATATGAACCTTCCGAATTCAGACACACTTGATCACAAATGCCATATTGTTCACATTCGTTGATATCTATTAGTTATAAAATGTAGGTTTAATAAAGTTATTTTATTGAATATTAACAAGTGTCTTACCAGAACATTTATTATTTAAATAATGCATTCCTTTTGGGCACACACACATGACGCCATGCGGCTTTCTCAAACATTCAAATGCGGCAGAACAATTCATTGAATTACATTCACTTTTGATATCTGAAATAAATACAAGTGGGTATGTCAACTTCATGTTTGATTACATTATAGATTTTGGCACTCTCGCTATTTTGGACTTGTGTAGAAAACATTTCGGTTTATGACGTTGTATCTCAAAAATTAATAAAAACTATTACTTGTAGAAACATGGATTATTGCGTTAGTACTTTTGAACAGCGAATTGAATTTGGTGTTACGTCTGCTAAGGTCGATCAGTTAACTTTTTTAAAATTTTGATTCTAAACCAAGGCTATAAATGACGATTATCATAGGCGCAATTTGGGGGGTGCTTAAGGGTGCTTGGCACCCCCAAATTTTTGATAGCATCATCGGATTTTTAATGACTACACAATTATTCCACAGGGATTTGGATACATTTATTTCTAAGACTATCATTTTCATAATAATAATGATACATATAGGTATCAGAATAATCATATAGGTAAAAGTGCATTATGTTATAGGTAATTGTTTGCATTAAGATTAATGTGAATGTGTATAAAATTAAGTTGTATGAATAGAGGGGGGTGTGAGGGCAAAGCCTCCATTTACCACTTCAGTCGATATAAATCTAGCACCCCCATATATTTAACCCAAATTACGCCTATGACGATTATTCAAAATAAAATAATATTTTAAAAAATGGCCCGATCGATCTCAAGTACCTACTTACTACTTATACATACCTATTAATAAAAAATCAGTTTTCAGAAGTCTAATCGCCGTGTCCTACGTGAATCCGACGAAAAATAAAACCGTTTGTCGCATCGCATTGCGACGGAACAGCATGATCAGAATAGAAATCGTCGGAGTCGCCGGATTTGTGTAGGACATGGGGCTGTGGTGTCCGTTTGCGGGATTAATGAACATTTTAAACTATAGGTCAAAGCACAAAACTGAGAACAGAAATGAGCGTAATATCGACATAAAACAGCTACCTACATCTTATACGACCTTATCTATTATGATTTATGGTGTTTAATGTTTATCGTCCACGCGCCGAACGCCGAGGTGAAGACTTGAACGAGCCGCGCGAGAGCGCTCCGCTATTTATTTTACACAGCTACAGACAACCACCGGTCGCGCACCAGACATAATGTCGGGGCTATGTCGCCGTGTGTGAAGTGTTTTTGCGATTTGGTGGGTGTGTTAGGCGCTATATTCTTTACTCTATGGTGTTAGGTATTGCTTTGGGGGGGCCTTGGAGACAGTAAGATCGTAAGCAATGCTCGAATTGGAAAAAAATTAGAAGAGCGATGGCGCGATGCAAAAGTGTAAAAATATGTGCGAGCCTGAATATTGCAATAAATCTTATTGATTTGGGTACCTATAATTAGAAGGGGTACGCATAAATGTTTTCTAAAAATATAGGGGACTCCGACCCCCGCGCCCCCCTCAATTCGAGCACTTACAATTTGTAAGCCCATCGATGAATCCTAATTGTTGTATGAACATAATATTATGATTTATGAACACCATGGACCCGATAATTTATTTTTGCAACAGGTCGCTGGGCTCGAACCGCCTTCAATCCAGTCTCGGCGAGCACTCGGTATTTTTGTTTGGGGGGGGGGGGCTTACATATTTTCGGTTTGTAATTTCCCGCCACTCAGGTGTTCAAACATCTCGCTGCCATGGTGCCATCCATAATAATAAATAAATGCATCGCGTTAACAATTCGACTGTTCTTGGCGTAAAAATGTAAGTATACCCACCTATGAACCTGGTACCTATCCACGGGTTATTTAAAAACCAATAACCAAACCGATACAACCGTTTAATAAATACCTAATAACAACCACAGTGTGAGTCTTCGACTCTTATTAGTTATTACGTTTTTATTTGTCGTTATTCGATTTAATTAAAATATTATGTATCCTGACGTATAGATTTTTTTTAAATATATTATTATTATACAAATATGAAATTTAAAAAGGTGAGCAAATGGGCGTCACTCTGCTGTACAGTAGGTTACAAGTTGGTCACTGTAATGGATGGTGTTAAATTTGAATTCAATGATATAATACGATTGTAGAAGAAAAACGATTCTGAGCGAAGAAGATCAGTCAGCCAATGATATGCCTACCTTTGAGATGATATTATTGTGAATAAAGTAATTTATGTATTTATACAATAACCTGTCTACGTTGAACCTTATCAATCCATAGCTATAAAAGTTGAATATTTTATACATTTTTAACTACAAAATCATTTTTTAATTTTTAATTTGATACGTTTTGTCAAAATTCGAACATTAAATGCTTGTTAAAAAAATTGTGACTAGGTATATGTATTTTTAATATTTTACAACTGCTATAGTTACAATATATCAGGAGGCTTATATTAAATGTTCACGCTTTTTCACCAAATAAATATATTGTATTAATATTTATAGAAAAAAAAACTAATACAATTGGAAACTGACTGTCTCTAGACCGCACAAAACGAGTCAGGATATTTTCAAAATTTTATAGTGTATAGAAAATGCGAACATAAACAACCGGTGAAAATTGCATGTATATACGTTGATTTGTTTTAGAATTACTTCAAACGCCAAAATGGATTTTGTCGAAAACTGGTTTTGGGTAAAAATTTCAGTTTTTCCTTGATTTTTATGTTGTTTTTTCCGGGGCTTTTGAAAACTATTGGGGATTTCGACCTCCCGAATTCACCAACTAGATTCACTTTCCCATCGAACAAGATAGATACTGTAGAAGAAAATCGAAGCAGTTTTACTGCCCCAAACGGTGGTGACAGACACAAAAATAAAAAATAAAAAACCCACATCATTGTAAAATCAATACATTCATCGCTCCTCTCAGAATCTAAAAATGAATTTCTATAACTTACATATAGGTACCTACCTACTAAATTTGTTATTATTTTTATTTGGGTTTATTTCCTATATATTTTTTTTCATGGATGGCGGTGAGGTAACTAACCTGAACGGCTGACTGTGGTCTAAAAATAATTTTAGCTTACGAAATACAATTTTTTATGACAACAAAATTATATTTGGGAGTTGGGATTTTAATAGGGAAAACCTATAGGTATACAAGACGATAAGTAAACTGTAGATAAAAAACGGCGATTAATACCATGGACGTATAATAGGATACTATGTAATAATATAAAACATATAATATGTTCTAATATTATGTTATATACCTATGATTAACACATTCAATGTTTGATAAAAAGTTCATAAAATATTATCTAAAATTTGTTACTGACGGGTTATGTAGGTACTTATGTCTAATGTGCTACACCGCTACTTAGCTTTTGAAGATTATTGCGGTCAGTCGTCAGTGGTCAGTAAACACAACAGACTGTACAGATTTAAAAGTTTTTTTCTTCAATATACACATTGGATCATTTAAATGAAGGTAAGAGTGTACTTAGATAAAATTTGATAGTTTATAGATTCAAAACTTTTACATTAAAAATATATTTCAAAATAAAACAAAATTAGTGATAAATACTTGTTTTATTTTAATTTTTGACCAATAGGAAATATTTTAAAACTTAACAAATCTCAGCAAGTTATCAGTACATATGGTATAATGTGGTTTAAATAATATATGTATACCTATAATTTCCATGTGCCCCAATTTGCCCCATGGATTATGTGATTTTTTTTGTTGCTGGTTGTAGTCGAAATAGTAAGCCATAAGTAACTTATTATGGAATTTTTGAAAACATCTTTGAATTATATTTACAAATTTTACATCAGAATTCAAAATTGAAACATACGGTTAAGTCTTAAGAATATGAATTTTGTTAAAAGTTAAATTTAAATAAATTATCATAAGCAATTATTTTAAATTGTTTTAATTGTTCAAAAATGTTGATAATACTAGGTTGAATTAAAAAACTATTATCAAATTTGGATTTGTTACTTGAATCTAAAAATTAAAGATGATATTAATTTTGGCAAGCTAAAATAAATTTTCAAACCACTATTATAGCTGTGTGATGGCCGGCGGGCCCATACAATTTTGAATTTTCACACGATCGGGCGGGGAAATAACAAACCATTACAAATTTTCCTACTTTCCTTTTACACACAAGTAAAAAAGTTTTATTTCATTTATTTCTACACCAAATAATACATAATATGTATAATGTATACTGTATTTATAATTATATTTTATTTATTTATAGTTATTATTCAAATATGAATAATGAATCGTTATTATAATAACAAATGTTGTGATGTTAAGTTTATAATAGAAAATATAATAATAATTTACCCATAATCAAATTTAAAAGTAAGAATATCTAGTGAATATCACATGGGTTTGTTTTAAATTTTTTAATTCAAATACAAGTTACCTGAAGCATATTAAAATTTTAAAATTGGTTGTACATTTTTCTTTAAAAAAAAACAACAAATAAGCTCCAAGTTTAAAAATGCAGACAAATAGAGGAGTAGTCAACTCCTGAACTCCACGTGAAATTAGTTTAGGACTTTAGGTACTTCTATAGTATATTTTATAATAATTATGATAATTAATTATATAAAAAAAGTAAATCGAGTAGTTTTCTCATTGTGTTGAAAATATAAATACCAGTTTTATTATTGCAAAGACCGCCTTCGTCCGATGCATCCAGACAGTCATTGTTGTAATCGCAGACATTTTTGACATCGATACATTTTTTATGATCGTGACATAGAAATTTACGATTTTCAATTAAACATTTTTCTGGCTCAACCAGTTGGATATCTGAAATCGAAAAAAAGATAGCAAAATAATAAAAATAGATATGATATTTAAGACGGTAACATTTTATACCGCAATGGGTTTCGTCTGAACCATCTCCGCAGTCGTCTTTTCCGTCACATCTCCACGCCTTTGAAACGCAATTGAAATTTTTGCACAGATAACCAGAGATACACAATGCCTATGGCACACAAAAAGTATCGAATTATACTAATAAAATAACTAGTTTAAGTGCTCATAATATGTGAAAATAGGTGTTCCAAGAAGGAAAATGTCCGTACCGTGTATCTACATTTTTCCCCGTCTTCGTCGCTACCGTCGTGGCAATCAATCTCCGTGTCACAGTGCCAAGCCATTGGAATGCAAGTGCCATCGGAGCATTTGAATTTTCCTTCCCGACATGACTGCGTCAGGGACGATGACGTCTGTATAAAATAATGTAACAAAATGTACGATTAGTTTTTTTAAATTTATTTTGGATTTAATAGGTAATGTAGAACCTATATATACATACCTCTTTACAATGACTTTCGTCAGACTTGTCGATGCAATCGTCCGACTTATCACACACAAATTCCTTAGGAATGCATTTTTTCTTGCTATCGCATTCAAAGTATTCTGGCGCCAGGCAAGGCTTTTTGCCAGTATCTAAATTAATGTTTGTAATTATTCACTATTATAACATAAATTGCAACAGTATAATATAGAAAATTAGAAACTTTATTATTATTTCAAACGTACCACAGTCGTCTTCGTCAGCGCCATTGTCCCTACAGTCATCAATGCCGTCACAAAGTCTTGTCTTATTGATACAAGTACCGTTCCCGCAGTTGAATTCGTATTTGCTACATTCTTTTTCTTTAAAAACTAATACATAGGTGCACGTAATTAATTTAATACCTACAGGTAATATGGGCATAATATGGCCTACGACTCAGAAGTTCTTGCATTAACAAATTTTTTTTGCGCTATTAGATTTATTGCCAAGTAATATCATTCAATTATTTTCACGACACTACGAAAAGTAGTTTTTTTTTTTTTAAATATATTTGACTTTATTATGAAAAATTACAATCTATACATCGAGTACAATAAGTAATATAAATATTTTACAGATAGTTCACAGGTTAAATTATATACATGAAGGGGAAATCACACATTTGTGACACCCCTGAATATTTTAAGTACTTAATCTTAAGTTATCAGGTCAATATTAAAAGTTTTGAACTTGCATAGTTTTGCACATTTAGCGATTTTGCAGTTTGAAGAGCATAATATTTCTTAATTTAATCATTTTTTTGACAATATATGGTGATAAGTTTATTATACAGTTTGAAAAACTGGCAATAAAAAGAATAAACCTACCTACCTATAATGTATAATATTTATTTTTTGAGAGTTTTCACTGGAAAACAATATTGTGTTTGTTAAATCTCTAGTTAACTTACAATTCCCCGTTTTTACTAAGTACCTATCATATCTGTATTAATGAAAATTGTGAGTAAAAAAAAAATAAGTAAATATTTTCAGAGCAAATTTGTAGGTACTTTTTATGCTCAAATGGCAATCATATTTTGTACTTTTTAAGTGGATTCAGTTCCGAGCCGTAGCACTAAAATCAACCCGCCTATTGCATTTAAAATGAAGATAATAAATAAAAAGGTGCTCTGCTGTGCAGTAGGTTACAATTGGGTCACTGTATAATAGATGGAATTAAATTTGAATTCAATGATATAATATTTAATATTTGTATCTTAGATTTAAAAAGAAAAATTTTTACGAAATCTTAACTCAAAATAATTTGCTAATTTTTGTGATTTATCCATATTTTGTCAATTTTTGAACTTTAAATGATTATAAAAAAAAACTATGGCTAAGGATTTTTAACATTTTTCAAATGTAATTGTAACAATATAGAAGGAGCCTTCTATTTAATTTTCAAACTTTTTGAACAAACAAATACATTTTTTTTGATATTTTTAGAAAAAAAACTAAAAAAAAATGGAAAATGTTTCTAAACTCTAAACAGTTCAAAACAATTCATAATATTTTGAAAATTGTATCGTGTATAGAAAATACAAATATAAACAACCAGTGAAAATTTCATGTATATACCTATATAGAGTTACACCAAAAACCAAAATCGATTTTCTTAAAAACAGATTTTGCGTAAAAATTGCCGTTTTTCTTTCAGTCAATTTTTCTTTTGTTTTTCACGGCCCTCTTGAAAACTACTGTTTTTATTTTTGACCCCTCAAGTACCAATAAGATTCACTTTCCTATCTGAAAAGATACTGTTGAAGAAAATCCAAGCACTTTTACTGTCCTAAAAGGTGATGACAGCCACAAAAAAAAAAAAAACACATTGTAAAATCAATACATTCATTGTTCCACTCAGAATCTAAAATCAGAGGTAGTTCTGGCTGTATATATTATGGGCCGATACAACAATAAAAATATTAAATTAATTTATTATTAGTTATTACAGTTATTAGTTTATTTAGTTTATTAAAATAGAATATTTAAATAAATGGGTCAATATTTAACCGCGGTATACCGTATACCTACACGCATAATTTTTATATTTGTGCAAGAACTTAATTTTAAACTGTATTATTATTATTTATTTTACATAGATACTCAATTTGCCTTGGTCTTAAGATACGCCCAGTACAAATATTGAATGATACCACAACAGTGATATAATATACGTTTTAATCAAAATTACTTACCATTAAATTCTGAACATGTACAGCAGACGACTAATGAGAAGATCAAAAAAAGTATCAACATTCTAGAATCCTCCCACATTGTTTTCCATTCAACCTATAAAGTAATAATTTTAAATAACTTATTTCAATTGTGTGCAGTGTATTATAATATAGTATCGACATCGGAATTGGGTTTTCTCGAACTGTTCAAAATGTTCAAATTCGAAGTAGACCTATAAACTAATGGACTGCACCTCACTCACCACCCAGCCATCAATGAGTGGCGCCAATATAGAGTGAGTGAGAAAGAACATATATTGGGGGAATCTTGGTGGACAATCATATAAGAGAAAGAGAGAAAAAACATAATTGGGGGAAATCATAGACGTATGAAATTAATACTGTATATCGTACACCTGACCTCTCTCTCTAAGCGCTGTCCATTAGTTTATAGGTCTATGGAAGTAGGTATTCGATTTAGAGTATTAATTTCTAACAAACTTTGAACTTTTCAATTTTCTAAGCTCGGACTGTTCGAAAAGTTCGAGAACCCATTCAGAATAATTATTACTTAGTTTACTTCTACACAATATACATACACATTGACTAAAACAGAGCTTAACTTAGTTCTTCCGTAATTAATGGCTAATAGGTACAGTGTCTGGTAAAAAAAACGTAGAACTTTCAAGTTTTAAACATTTGCAATATTTAATTTAATTTAAACCGAGTAGTTATTTACAATATAAATTAATAACGAAATGATACTCTGATTTAAAAGTGAATTAATTGGATTCAGGTAGGTTAAGAAATTAGAATATTTATATTTAGGTACTTATATAGAAACGTGGCAATTTTATCGAGATTGTATAATTCATACATAATGAGATAACAACAACAGGTATTTCCATTAAGTCTAATTTTATTATTTGTATATTAACATTAATTTGTATTTGAAAAATATTAATTATAGTAAAAATATATTTATTTAATATATTATCAACGATAGTGTTCCAATAACTTCTATAGTTTAGTTACATTTTACATATTAGCTATACATTTATAGTATAAATATCTGAATTTACATTCACATTAATCTTTTTTTCAGTTAAGTTCTTACGTTTCATATTCGGCGAATCGCTATACATTTTACTTTAAACAAAAATGGTACGCGTTAGATAATTTAACCGCGAAAATATATATTCGCGTATTATTTCAAATCCGATAGATTTTTAATTATATTTTATTGTAATAACTGGCACCTAGGACCTAACTACTGAACCGTCTAAACTAATATCTAATCAAAACGAAGCGGTGTTACAAATTATTTGAACATCCACGTTCCATAAAATATTTATGCAAAACACTTATAAGAGGACGTCGCACCAGCATGATGACGTGTTGTCTCCGTCTTACAATAGTACGACATTGACAAAACATGTTTACGCATTCTGAGTAGACCTCGCTCAATTTTGGTTCTAGAAGAAAAATAGTAAACACATATTTTAAAATGAAAATATGACAATACTTCCGAATATTACACTCAATAAATTGTTTGGAAACAACGCCTGTTCAACATTTTCAAACGACCTGTAACTTTTTATAAAACGAGCACCGAAATGTTCTCATATTTCTATTTTATAATAGGTAGGTATTTGTATTCTAAAAAAACCAAAATTGAGCGAGTTCCACGCGTTTTGTCCAAATGGATACAAAACGAGGGTGCGAAGTCCTCTCAAACAAAACTGGATCCATTTATGTGCGCGGCCACGATAAAAATTTATTACAATTTTAATAAAAATAATAACGAATCGATCGATATCTTCCGATATTTCTAACACCTATCCGTACCTATATATTGTGCGACGTACAATTAATTAATTAAGACACACACACATACTTGTTTCCCCGCGTCGACCGTTACTATTTGAATACAACATAATCGTACAAAATAATAAATATCTAAGTACATATAATTATATTATTATCATAATATTGTAAAATACGTACCCGTCTGGCCGTCTATGAAATTTCCGGTAGGTAACTGCAGTGATATTGATCAACAAAAATAAAATAATACACACACAAAAATAATTGCCTCCAAACCGATGGTTGTTTCACAAAAAAATTATATTTTAATAAAACAATAATTTACATAAACTTGAGAAAAAATAATTTAAGAGGGTAAAAAAGTTAACGATTACTATATTATATTATAATTATTATTGTTACCAGAACCATACAATGGTGAGTTTAGTTCTGGAATGAATGCCCGTCGCGAATAATTAATAAATTGTGGAAAATCATCGAATTATCTCAATATCGAAAGTAGGGGAAATCGTAAGTCACTCTCATAGGTAATTATAATATTATATATTTATGTACCACTGTGTTATACGTACGTGATATCGGCGATTACATAATGCATATAGGTATCGACTATTAACTTAGAAAACAATATCAAATTATATTTTAATCTGCATAATTAATTAATTTACCTATACCCATATCTACCTACTATAGGTAACCATTTATATTAGTATTAATATTTATATTCCATGTATAGGTATCAATGCATTATATTATTGTGTTATTGTTCAAGTATTATTTCAAATCTAGTGTCGTTAATAACCTAAATACCTATATAATAGCTTATTATTGATTTGTTATTGTATTGAAGACAATGTTCGAAAAAAAATGTATAATATTATGTACATTTAAATAATATATTTTAAAAGTAGTGTCGCAGGTATACAGGGTGAGTCACTGAGCATGCTAAAAAGTTACTAAATGATAAATTCATAATTTATTGATATTTGATGTAGTTCAATTTAGTAGGTATACTTGGACACGTCGTATTACTGTATTAGTAAATTACCAAGGGGGTAATTAATTAATAGTTATAACTTATAATCAATGATTAATATTATTTAATTATTATAATACAATTATTGATGCTTGGGGTTTTTGACCTATTCTCGACGGTACCTATATTTTATTTTAGTGTAGGTATTTAATATTTATTAAAAATACAGAATTTGTTACTGCAGTGGTTGTGGCGTAATTCATAATTGAGTACCTAGTACCTACCTATTGGCTATTATATAATGTAATATTACATTATGATTTAATGATTATTTTGTCTTATTAATTATTATTATTATTATTATTATTGTTTTTTAAATTTTATATGGCACAATATTATAAATTTAAATACAATCGTATAAAAGTAGAAATACAATTTTCTTCGAAGAATCGAAAGTGGTTCACCGTCCACTAAGTGTCAGGTGCTCCGAGGTCCAATAGATTTCAAATCCGAGCTTGCACACACACACATACATTATAATAATGTATTTAATTTATAATAATTAATAGTATATACTTATAAGTTATAAGTTATTACGTAGCTTGGAATAAGGTAAATCTAAAGTACTCAAAAAGAAAGCCAATTACCAAATTACCAGGTGACCTCCTTTAGTCCTTTATATAATACCGTAATTTGTAAGTAATATTTATACAAATTGAAATTATCGACTTGGGCAGTTAGGTCTTAACGTTTTGCGTCATCGACCCTAAAAATATGCTTATGTACAAGCTATTTAATTTAAATTGACTACTGTATTATTTAAAAACCTATTATCATAATTAATAGTTTTTGAATAACAACAAAATAAAAAGATCGTTGTACGAGCATAATATTATGTCAATATTTATGAGCGAATATCCTATGTTTAACTAATTAAACGCTCGTAAAAAATTAATTTAACTTTCCGGTAAACTTTTTTTTTGTTAAATGTAGAAAAACTTAAGGGGAATCTTATATGAAAATTTCAAATCTTAGATATAAATGGAAAATTTTTAATGAGTTTCTAACTCAAAATTATTTGCCAATTTTCGTGTTTTTGATGCATTATGTCAACATTTTGATAAAAAAATACTGTTTATTTACGCTCAACTATTATTTTAATTTCCACTAACTTTAAATTATGAGGAATCAGGGGCCGCCCCAAGCCACATATCTACAAAAATTTATAAGTAGGTACTATAAAAACAATATTACAAAAAAGGATCATATTACAATAGGTGCATGGAAATTTTCTGAAAATTATGACTTGCCCCCTCAACCCCCCTCCCAACCATGACTTTGAAGCCCTGACTCCAATATTTCGAATGTCAGATTTTAATTTTTGACAATTGTAAAACTGCAAAAATACTTAAGGATTTCGCATAAAAGTACCTACTTTGCGCAATACCCAATAATGATAATTTCAATTAGTCCAATCGCGGATCCAGCCTACATTAATGGTGGGGGGGGGATCATAAACTTATAAATATTTACTAATTACTAATTTTTTTATATTGGCAAATAGCAGTGGTCTGTGTGATCTAACATGTGGTCTTACATGTGGGTACATACATCAATGTAGCCAACAAGTAACAGCCGTTCACTTTTAACTTTAATTTTTTTTTTTTTTTGTTTTTTAATTAGTTTTATTACACAATCTGTAAATATATTATTTTTTACAATAAGTGTAAGTGTTGTAGATTAATAAAATAAAAATAAAAAATAAAAATACAAATAAAGAGAAAAAGACAGATAATTTGAGCGAAGAAACCATCCAGTGATGGTACTTCTTGGAGTTGTGGATAGGTTTTATTCAGTCAGGAGGTCCCGACACCATTTTCGTTTTAAACGTCTTCCAGGGTCACCTGGAATGCTGAGGGTAGATTAGTTTGAGATTAGAGGATTGCGGTGGTTGGAGAGATTTGAGTGGAATCGTTTATACAGAGTTTTGGCTACGAGTTGAACTGTTGGAATAGAGAGGTCTTTATGGAGTGTATCGTTTGAGACGTAGAAAGGGGCTTTGGTAATTTGTCGAAGGCATTTAGATTGAAATATTTGAATTTTTTTTATATTAGATGGTTTGGCTGAACCCCAAAGTTGTATACCATATGACCATACGGGCTTTAGTAGTAATTTATATATAAGTATTTTGTTGTTCAGATTGATGTGTTTAGATGTAAGGAGAAGACGTAGCTGACGGGATCGGTTATTCAAAGCAATACGTTTGGTATGGATGTGGTGGGCCCAGGTCAATCGAC